ACATGTCTTTGGTTTTTATCTTCTAAATGATTTTCTACTGCAAGCCAGCCTTTCCGTCTTTACCACCTGTGGTAATTCAGACCTTCATCAACATTTTCCTAGGCCAGTACTTCTCAAACTTGAGTGTACATCAGAATTATCTGGAGAGCTTATTACAACTGAGATTGCTGAACTTCATCCCCAGAGTGTCTGATTCAATAGTTCTGGGGCACTTGAAGAGCTATCTCTACCCCCCATATTCAAAGCATCATTAATTCACAATAGCCATGATATGGAAACAACCTAAATGTCCATTGATAGATGAATGAATAAAGAAAATATGGTTTATATGTACAATGAAATATTATTCAGCCTTAAAAAAAAAAAAAAGAAATCCTGTCATTTGCAATAACGTGGATGAGCCTGGAGGACATTATGCTAAGTGAAAACAAGCCAGATACAGATTTAGATGAGCCAGATACAGAAAGACAAATACTGCATGATTTCACTTATATGTGAAATCTAAACAAGTCAAACTCATGGAAACAGAATGGTGGGGACACCTGAGTGGCACAGTCGGTTAAGTGTTGGCTCAGGTGGTGATCTCAGGGTCATGAGATCAAACCCCACCTGGGGTTCTGCATTCATAGAATGGTGGTTATCAGGAGTTTAGGGGAGGGGAAAATGGGGAGATGTTGGTTAAGGGATATAAACTTACAGTTATAAGATGACTAAGCTCTGGGATCTAATGTACAGCCTGGTAACTCTAGCTAATGTATTGTAGGCTTGAAATTGGCTGAGAAAGCAGATCTTAAGTGTTCTTACAACACTCAGGGGCACCTGGCTGGCTCAGTTGGTAGAGCATGCAACTCTTGATCTCAGGATTGTAAGTTTGAGCCCCATGTTAGGTGTAGAGATTACTTAAAAATAAAAAAAAAAAAATTAACACAAAAATGCTGACTATGTGAGGAGATGGATATATTATTCAGCTTGATTATGGTACCCATTTTACAATGTATATATATATCAAAATATACTGTATACCTTAATGTGTATAATTTTATTGGTCAATTACACCACAAAAAAGCTGGAAAAAAATAGTTCTGGGCTGAGGTCCAAGAATTTGGATTTCTAACAAACTTTCAAGTGAAGCTGAGGCTGCTGATCCAAGGATATCACTTTGAGACCCTTGCCCTAAATTACTATATCCCTGCTCCTTTAGTTTATCCCACCTAAAAACATTCTCTGTGCTGCCCATTTTATTCCCCCTAGACAAAATACTTCCATGACTTTCCATTATCAACCTACAGTATTAGGACCAAGCTCCTTCTCTGGCTTACAACCTCCTATGAGCGTTCACTTCTCCAGCCTCCTCTTCATGAACTCTACCTTCACAAGACCCGCAGAGGCTATTTTCTGTACTTTATCATCTCCTTGTGAGTAGGACTTAGGTCATTTATTCATTATAATGTTTTAATTGTCTAGCACTATGAGCTTCACCTCAAGATATGGGTCTTACCAATTAAGATGGTGACTATATCTGGTCAACTGAATTCATTCCATCAACATAAAATCCATCTAGGGAAAGGAAGGGCTTCCAGAGCCAGAGAAAGGATTGATTTTTTTTTTTTTCCCTCAAGTGAGAATAATACTCCTCTCATTGAGGGCACCAGAGGACTGCCGAAGTGAGGGACCAAGATGTCTGGACAGTGACAGCTAGGTGGAGTGGTGGAGTCATGGGGACAGTGCTATAGCCCCTTTACTTGAGAATAAAGTAGATTGGGATTCCAGTTCCAACTCTGCCACTTGGTCGGTGTAACTTACTTTGGCCAAGCTATTTAGTATGTCTGTGCTTAAATTTCCACATATGTGAAATGAGCATAATAGTGTTTTTATTGAGGATCTTATCAGACCTCTCTTTGGCACAAGGTTAAAATTTGTCTCAGTGGGGAACTTGAACTTCTGAAATTTGAAACATTCTCCCATATCTATCCCAGGTAAGGTTGAAGTTGACAAAAAAAGACCAATACCTGGCTACCTTGTAAATTTGAATATCAAAGCCAAATGTTGGGACATTAAAAATAGGTAATCATGGTATAGAAAGGCATTCATTTCAACGTGTCTGGTCTTAGTATTAAGCATGCGTGTGTGTGTGTGTGTATGTATTACATTTCAGAAGGGGATCTGTAATAGACCATGATAGAAACTGAAAGATTTATCAACTGTGTTTCCTGTATGAAGTCTTCCTATATGGCAACCGCTGGTTTATTTTCCCACCATGATTATCAATAAAACCCTTAAAATTAAAAAAAAATTTTTTAACTTTGAGGAAGTATTTGAGGAGGTAGCATCTAATTGAGGAGGTAGCCAGGCTTGAGAGAGAGAATACTAGTGAGAAAATGTATTTACTATGTTAACAAATGAAAAAGAAACAGGCTCAGTCCTTGGACTGTGGGAAGGAATGAGGTCATAGAACCTAACTTGGGCCTAAGAATGGGGCTTAGAATTTAATGATAGAATGATCTGCAAGAGTTCCTGGATATGGAATTAACTATGAAGCCAACCATTTCTTGTGTACACACTAAATCACCTGTGAGGAAACTTATATCTCTACTTACATGCAGTGGGAGAAAAAACTGGACAGTTTGAATAAAGCAGGGAATCCAGAAGTAAATGTGTCTATTAGAAAGTAAAACAGGGTCAGGCATATTATCGTCATAAATATAGCCCACTTTAGAAGCATAATTGGACCCAACATACATGCAGTGTGCCAGCCCAGGAATTTAGGATTTTCTACGAAGAGTCAGGAAAGTGTGTAAGGAGAGGTCCCCAAATCCAGGCTGCAATGATGACCATCTCAAGAGGGAGCCATATGTGGCCAACAGGGAAAAAATGGAATCAGCCTGGGTACTCTTCCCATAGAGTTAAGACATGGCCTTCAAAATGGTAAGGACTCTATGTCTCCATGATTAGGTCTCCTTTAGTTATTAGTAAAATATATTTTTTTAAAAGTCCAGCCTCTTCTGTCTGAGCCATAGGATAAAGGGATTATTCCATACCTTGATCAGGAAAACAAAGAAGTGAAGGTGACATAGGGGTGAAAGGGAAATCTTACACAGATGTAAGGTCAGTTTTGTCCTGTGCCCTGCCCTTGTATCATCAGAATGTTTAAAATGGATTTGAATTTGACTTTCCAGGATACTATGTTATCCTACTTGCTTTTCTGAACCCACATCACAAAAACAAGGCCTCTCTATAGCAGCAATTACCAAACTATGGAACCAGAATCTCTTAAAATGATCCATTAAATAACCGTTCCATGGTCAAATAATTGTGAAGTTCTGCATTCTATCCCCACTTGAAGGGATGGATACTACAGTGAATGAAAAGGCGCTGTAAATAAACCTGTTTATTTTCCCAGATTGTATTTCACTTATTTTTCCATTCAACAGTTGAGAATCTTCCAGGTGGTAGACATCACACTAGGCTAGGAGACAAAATGGTGGCCCTCAATGGCTTCCTATCATATATAGATGGCCCCTAAACAATGCCTATTCCTCTGACCTTCTCTCTCCCTCATTCATTGCATGTCAGCCTCACTGGTTCCCTTCACAGTTCCTGGAACATTCCAGCATGCTCTTGCCTCAGTTCATATACCCTCTCTTAGGAATGGTATTTCCCCCAAAATTCACTTGGCTCACTTCCTCACTTCATACAAGGTGCTATTCAAATGTCCCATTCTCAGGTTGGTATTCCAGACAGACCTTACCTGGCCTCTTTTAAAATAGCAATCATCAGGGGTGCCTGGGTGACTCAGTCAGTTAAGTGTCTGACTCTCAATTTCAGATCAGTTCATGATCTCAGGGTGGTGAGGTTGAGCCCCATGTCAGGCTCCATGCTGAGTGTGGAGTCTGCTTAAGATTCTCTTTCTCCCTCCCTCGGCCCTCCCTCCTACCCCTACATGCACATACTCTCTTCCTCCCTCTCTCTAAAAAAAAAAAAAGAAAGAAAGAAAAAGAAAAAATAGCATTCACCATTATATTAAAATTCTTTATTCTGGTAACTTTGTTACATACCTGTTTGTTGTCTTTTTATCCCACTAGAATGTTGAATTCCAAACAGCTAGAACTATGCCTGGAATGTAGAAAGTCTTAACTATTGATAAGTTGAATAAGGAAATGTTGAAAAAAATAGTTTTTGCCTCACAGAGCTCAGAAGATTAAAAAATGTTTGAAATTTAGTAGTATAATGAGTGTTATCATTGGGGGGAAAAAACAGAATGTACTGGAAGAATATGGGACTAGCACTTTACCCTAACATGGAAGAAATGACACTTAAACCAAGGCTTGTAAAGTGCCAGAGTTGAGAGACAGCATGGTCTGTTTGTGAAATAAAAGTTGAGTTTGCCTGACAGAGCAAGGCAGCATAAGGGTCAGACAACAGGCTTCTGAGCTGGGCAAGTCCTTGTAAACATTAATGAGTCTGGATTTCATCCTTAGAGCAATGAGATCATATAAAGTGTTTTAAGCAAGGAAAAGTAAAAGTCATCTAGATTTTGGAAACATTAGTCTGGGTGCAGTGTGGAGAGTAGATTGAAAGCTATACGGGAGGTACAATTCATAGGGTTTGGTGATTTATTTAATGTACAGGGTCAAGTAACTAAAGAATGATACCATTCAGCCCCTCCTTTTTTTTTTTTTTTTAATACATAGCATCTATTAATATCCTGTAAGATTGGTGTTCCATGGAATATGTTATAGAAAATACTGGTCTCTAAAAAGTTACCGACTCTAGAAATACCACAGACCATGGAGAACTATAAGCATATGTAAAATGCATCACTGGTTATACTCCTTAAAACCACAGTGTAGAGCTGACCTCTATGGGGCCCTAGCTGCTGACCTGACTCTGAGCAATGGATGAATTTATAACCCAATCAACCTTCATTGACTTAAGAGACTTGATTAGGAAAAGTTTCTAGGCAGAGTTGGTTTGAACCTAAGCCTCCCTCTTTGTATCGATTATTGTATGTGAAGACCTGTTTGCCTGTGGAAAAGACTTCGTTCTTCTTTCCTAAGATAGGAAATGTTTCCATTGCTGGTGGTCCTGTGGGTCAGGGCCTTGCGGGGGAACATATGGAGGCCTCATGCAGTAGAAGGCTTCTTGGTCTCAATAGTCCAGGTATTTGCAAAGTTCAGCACTTGAGTTTAGGGTCAGACCACACTCAGAGAGGACCCAGGAGGTATTATTGTCAAACTGGCCTGTGAATATCACCCTGTCATAGTCTTGGTTCCTTGCCCACCAGAGAGCTCTTATATTCCTTCACTGGGGTGGATGAGCAGGAGAGACAGACCCAGCCTTCCCAGGACAAAGTGATGCTGACAAGGTAGCTGCCACTGTTGAAGTTTGTCACCTTTCCTGAAGCACCTGCCTTCGGGGCTGGGGAGGACATCCTGACCCTCAGGAGATCCCCGCCATATTCGTTCCTGCATCCCAAGTGGTCCCTCCCCTCCAGCAGGATGTCTAGCTGAACCCCCTGCAGTAGGCGTCTGGGCTGCGGGGGGAGAGGGCAGCTGTGCTGGGTGCAGCACTGGTGGTGGGGTTCATGTGGGTGAAAGGTCTGGGTGGGATCAGCTGGTCTAGTTTGTCCATGATTCCTTTTATTCTCAGCTCAGTCTCTGTTAGTGAAACTGCTGGATCCAGTGGTACTTCAAGGTGTAAGAACTTTCTGAATATGTTCTATTGCTTCAGGGGAGTAGGGCTTCTCAAACTAAACTGAAGTATTGAGGGACAAGGGATATATTATCAGCAAATAATATGGCTTGTTTTCAGTATAAATTATTAAACTATAATAAAAAAAATAATAATAAAATAAAATAAAATCTGTTCAGGAGTCTCCCAAGCCTCATAGAGGTACATTTAGCCATCGCCTAAAATGACATGGGTGAAGCCAGACTTGGATATTATGGATATATTATCAGCAAATAATATGGCTTGTTTTCAGTATAAATTATTATTTGGAATCCTAAGAATCAATTTCCATGAAATGTGACTCCCACTGCTGCCAACAGATGATTTTTGGGGGGAAGTCATTGGCTTAAAATTAATTATATAAAAAATATATTTATTATTTTGTGATGTTTATTGAAACTAAACTGCACCTTTAATCAAAAGGATCCTATGGGTCTCATTTCCCTGAAGTGGGAGTTTGGGTGCTGAGGGAACTACCCACTGACCCCACGTGTGTGGGCTTGTGCCCCCTTGTTCATCAGGTCATGGTCTACATATTAGTTCAAGACACCATTCCAGCTTCTCAACACACAAAGAATAAGAGTTACATATAGCGCTCTTAATAATACAGAAACATATTTAATCAAATGAAATAGGTTTAGCTGACAATGTCATTGTATTCACCTGGACAACAAGGTAACTGGAGAGAATGTCATCACCAATTTAAAATCTGTTCAGGAGATAGCAGGAGGGGAAGAATGAAGCAGGGGAAATCGGAGGAGTAGACGAACCATGAGAGACGATGGACTCTGAAAAACAAACTGAGGGTTCT